CACTTTAATGGAAACAAATTGAAGCTTCATACCAAGAAAGGGATATAAGGTGATGTGTTATGGAGATATGTCCAATTTTGTGCACAAGCTAGAAAGAGAGTCTTTAAGGGAGTGTTTGCAATCACTTAAAAAAAAGCACTTTTCAGCTTTTGGCTTAAAAAAGCACTTATTTACCAAACACTACCAATTTTTACTTTTTTCTCGGCTTGCGTGTGAAAAGTGTTTTTCCCCTTTCTATTACACAAAAAGCACTTATTTTACCAAACACTATCAACTTTTACTTTTCAAAATCACTTTTTTCTCAAACACTATCAACTTTTCTTACTAATCACTTTTTCCTTACATCTCCAAAAGTGCTTTTTTTAAGCAGAAGCAGTTGCAAACACTCCCTAATTTGAGCATGAATCAGCTATGGAGGTTGGTTGGTAAAAGGTTGGGTGAGAGGTGAGGAAGCTGATGCGATGGATTAGTGATGGCAATGGGACCGAGTCTGATTTTGTTCACCCCCACTAAGGAGGGTGAACATCACCCTCACCCTTTAATGCATGCCATTTGGCATTACATTTCTTTTTTTCCTTAAATTTATTATAACTTTTTAATTTCTACTCTAATTTCCACAAAAAAAATATATCAGATTTAATAACTATTTATGATCTTTCCAATGATATCCATATTGCATACAAAAAAAATTAAACAAAAAATCGTTTTTTTTCTTAAGTCTATTTTTTACGGGATTTTTTTTTTAAATTTTACATATGTAATATTGATACCATATGAAAGATCATAAAAAATTAAAAATATTGATATATTTTTTGAAAAAATTGAACCAAAAATGAAAAAATTATAACAATTGCCAAATTTTAAAGAATTGCCATGCCACGTGGCAGCCTAATAGGGTGGGGGTGATGTTCACTCTCGTTTGAGGGGGTGAACAAAATTGTTCTCAATGGGACCGAGAAGGATTCCGACGGTCCAAAAACCTGCGAGTTAGTTAGTCACGTTTTACTTGGTTGGTTAGTTGCCAAAATGTTGGAGCCGTCTATTGCGATTCCGAATATTCTACTCAGATACCTAGCTTTCTTCACTCCATCTTTCTTGGGGACGGACAATGCATGTTACCCATATATTGCGTACGACTGTTTTATTGTTGAAAAGAAAAAGGGCATGCACAATTTAAGTAAGGCCCACCCCAACTGGGCTTCCAAGTTCCAACTGCACCGTCAATGGGCAACCCGATCAAGTCTATTGTCTATTTAGGAGGCGAATTGATTTTATTTTTGTTTGCTTTTTAAAAGCAGAAGCAGGTGTCAGAATCAGTTTTTCAGAAGTTAGTCTATTCCATCTTCTAAAAAATTGTTTTTAAAAGCAATTTAGAGCATGTAGTAATATTTCTATACATTCACTCAAACACTCCAATACCTGCTTCAGGTCCCCGAATGAGCAGAAGCACTTTCCAAAAATAGATCCAAACACCCCCTTACATGTGCAATAATAAGATTAAAGTAAAATAATGTGTCAATTGTGTATTTGACGTGACAACTTAAAGGGTTAAACAAGCCTGAACGTGATCAAATTATTTAATTCACCATCTCAACCGTTATCATTCAATTTGTAAGTCTAATAAAATTCAACAAATCATAGTTCGGATTATTATAATCAAATACATAGATATTCTTTTTTAATTGGCTAAACAGGTAGCCGATCATGTGGGATCATTATTGGAAGAAGGCTCCTAAAGCTGAGATTATTTTAGAACCCGTTTGGTGACCCTGCTTTTCGACTAATCAAGCTTATCAGTCAATTTTTTCACCAAACACGTAATTTTTGATTCTGCACGCTGAATATGTAATAATATGAAAAAGTAAAGTTGAAGTTACATTTCTGGCTGTATCGGGTTGGAGTTACTGTAGAGGATCATTTTAGTTGGTTTATCCTATAATTTTTTCTTTATTTTATTAATAAAATATATTTTAAATATTTTTTATAGATCAACAGAATCAGTCAATCTAGCCACTTAAGCTAGAACTTCATAAAATTTTTACAAGTCAATCAATACAGCCAATTTGAATATTACCAAATAGACTCTAATAATTTGGATTACTACGAGCAGACAAACAATATTTAGATTATTGTTATTATAATTTTCTACATTTTAATACTGCCATATAAGAAATTAAAAAATGCTCAAAGCAAATGTAAAATGTGGACAAAGATAAAAGTACAACTAATTATCTTTTATTCCCATATATACGGAGTAGAACTTTTATAGTGATAATACGGAGTAATAAAATACTTGATAAGTTGATAGTATAACAGTAACACGTTTTCTTTTGGGTGTGAAACTGTGAATGAGTACACACTACAAAAAAAACATGCTTGTAGTCACGGATTTTAGTCACGCATTTTGTCCATGACTAGCTTAGTCACGGACTAGTCATGGACTTTAAAAAAAATTAGTCACGGATTTGTCCGTGGCTACGGCCGTGACTAACCAAATCCGTGACTAACACCGTGACTAAAGTCCTCCGGTAGCCCCAACTCAGTCGCCGGCGTGTCCGTTTTTATTACGGCACCTTAGTCACGGATACGTCCGTGACTACTAAAAAAAATTAATTTTCAAACGCTCCAAATTTATTTTGCAACGGTATCTTGTATGGATGAAATTAGTCACGGAAAAATCCGTGACTAGGCCCGTGACTAAAAAACGAATAATAATATTCCCACACGTAATTCACACGGAATGGCTTAGTCACAGAAATATCCGTAACTAAGTCTGTGACTAGTTTTTTTATATATGCATGCCCAGTTCATTCAACAAAACCACACCAATTCATTCCTAGTATATAAAATACAATATCTGTTTGAAAGATCGAAGGATGTAGAAGGATGTAGTCCATCTTATGTCATTTTCCCTGTTTATGCAGATAAGATATGTTATTTGAATTCTTTTTATTTAGAATTAGTTGGTTCAATTTAAATAATTAAAACTATTAAATTAGTGAGGTTGTTAATTAATTAACAGTATATTTAACTATAAATATAGTGATGTCATAAAATCAGTTAAATTTTTAGGTTTATAAAATAATTTAATTAAAATTAGTTAGCTAAGCGTAGGTTTAACTTAGCTAGACGTTGGTTTAAAGGTAGTGATGCATTAAATAAAATTAAGTAAAATTAGTTAGCCAAACGTAGGTTTTAACTAATTAAGTTAAATTAATTAGTTAAGTTAGTGTAGCTTTTGATAATATTAGTTAAATTTAAATATTAGTTAGTTGAAATGTGTATAAAAAAGGTTAGTAATTAATTAACGAAATGAATTAGTTAAAATTAGTTAAACGTAGGATTAATTTAGATGTAGTGTTAAATTACTTAAATTTTTTATAATATTAGTTAAATTTAAGTATTAGTTAATTCAAATGGGTATATATATATGCTCAAATTATTAGATTTTATTATTAACAATTAATGTTAATGCCTAAATTAGGATTTGTAATGGGTTAAGTTTTGATTAAAACATTACTTAGATTTTGTGAATTGTTATTGTGAATTATTTGAAGTTCATTTAGTTTAGAATTGTTTATTGTGTATTATTAATTAGATTTTGATAATTTTAGTATTGTGAATTTCATTTAATTTAGTAAATTGTTTATTGTGTATTATTAATTAGATTTTGAAATTTTTTGTATTGTGAATTAATGTCATTAACGTATTGTTTGTAGTTTAATAATATTCATTGGACGTTAGTTAGTTTTAGTGAAATTTAATAAATAAATGTTCCTAAACATATCAAATTATTGTTAATGCTTATGAATTACTGTCATTAACGTAATAATTTAGTGTATTTAGTGTTAAAACCCTAATATTGATTATTTAGTGTTAATGAATAAATATTTATCTGATTGTAGTGCATTGAAATTTAGTAAAATTGAATGTCACATTCTAATGTAGTGTCATCTAATGCGTTAATGTCAATATTAGTTCACCCTAATATTACTTAGGGTTAGTGCATTTAACCCTAATATTAGTGTTAAAACCCTAATATTGAATATTAGTTCTAACCCTAATATGACAGTCAATATTAGGGTTTTAACACTACATGTCAATTTAATGTCAGAATGTTGACATTAAATGATTAATGTCATTAACGCATTAGTAGTTCTAGTTAATTAATAATATTAATTGAATGTTATCTAATTGTAGTGCATTGAAATTTAGTAAAATTGAATATATTAATGCTCCTACGTATGAATTAGTGAAAATATTTAACATAACAAATTGTTGATAATGTTTATGATTTAAAGTTTTTAACCTATATATTTTTTATTATTATAATATTCAGTATTCAGGCATAATGTAGGCAAAATAGAAGTTGGATGTATGATAAAAAATGCGGTATTGTACGGAATGCAATCAAATTTCCTCGAGGGATGTGCGGAGTTTATTAAATTTGCACTTGAACACCCGGATTATATGAGTGGTGACAAAATCAGATATTCATGTTTAAAGTGTATAAATCTCAAATTTAAAGACCCAGAAGAGGTTGGGTGGGATTTGTACGCGGACGGTTTCGTTCCCAATTATTATAATTGGGTGACAAAATTTAAAAATTTGAACCCTAAAAATTTGGCGGTCTGTTCAAAATTTTAAAACTTAGTCACGAATATGACCGTGACTAATATTAAAAACCAAAAAAAAAAAATAGTCACGGATAAACGCCGTGACTAACTCGCCGGCGTGGTTATTCCGGTCACAAATTAGTCACGGACCGCGTCCGTGACTACGCGTCGTCACGGAAAAAACGACTGTGACTAGAGTTAGTCACACCCATTTAGTCACAGATTTAGTCACGGAAAAAATCCGTGACTAGCAGAGTTAGTCACGGATTTTTGACACTACGGTCCGTGACTAAATCCGTGACTAACACCCTATTTTTTTGTAGTGTGTATAACCTTTTATGGCCTCATACTAACAAAAATGTATTACCAAATAATTAAGGATGATTTTGCTTGAACTAAAATTTGGTGATCTGGTCTAGTCTGTTGTCTTTTAAGTCTGATCTGGGACAGAAAACAATCCAGATAAAAACATCTTAAATGTACATTGAAGATAACAATGTGTGCCATGAAATTTCGCATGGCCTGATGATATATTTTAAGAAGAGGAACATATATATATGCATTGCAATTTCCCCAACAACCTAATGACATTCTCGTTAAGACGTAAACAAGTGAAACTTTCTAAAAAACACTAATTTAAGAGCTCAAAATAATCTCTCCAACGAGATATAAAATGCTTGAAACCGAAGGCCGGTTTCATGAAGTAGTTATTAGGCATTTCAATTGTTGTTCCCTAGGGAAACCCAATCTATATATGACTGCATTTGCAACAAGTGCAGCTTCACTCCTCCCGGTTCTCCCCCCCTGTTATCTTCATAGTTGTGCAACTGATGGGTGTGAAGTGAAAATGGAGTTGAGAAGGGCAGCCAAACGGACCCCGCTTTGAGATAACCTCTTTTCCACAACCGGCAGCCTTGAGAGAAAATATTCATCTGCTTAAAAACAATGTAGTGAAAGACTCGTAAGAACATAGCAATGAAATATAATTCTTTTTAAGAAGTATATATACATGCAGACATGCAGTTTCTGCAGGAAAACAAATATATGTGTTTTTGAGGAATTTGAGAAGAAATACAGACGGAAAAACATTAGGTGTTTATGGGGCATTTTGTTAAAGCTGGAAAATGGAATCACTGAAATTCTGCTTGGATGAAGAACCAACATGTTGTAGTCTTTTTTTTTTTTGTTATTTTTTCGAACAAAATGACTTGTTACAAAGTTATTTTTTCCCCTTAATCATTTTTGCACAGAAACACTTACAAAATATATAGCATTTGATCGAACAATTATCGAAACACATATTTGAAACAACACCATTCTCATACCAAAAAGTCTGTTCTGAAAACGTACGAGTTTTGAAACCTGGAAGCACCTTTCAAAACACTTACCCAAACACACCTCATTAACACAAGGACATGTGGTCTCTTGTGGATGTCGAATTTTTTTGTGGCGCTCTCAAATAATTTCTTGAAACAGGTGGTAAAACAAGAGTAAATTAAGGAACACAAATACACAATGGCCTCAAATGTTCATTTAAAGAGAACAAGAAACGAAAAAGAATGCACCTCCCAAAGTGCTCCCAGGCGTGGCATTTCTGTAGGCAAATTTGCAGGCTAAACTAATACTTTCTGAGGCATACCTGCCATACATAGCAAACATCAAAGTTATATTGATCCATGACTGGTATACTTAACTACAAAAATGTAGATTGGTGATTCGAGATAAAAAATTAAAGGAATGAAAATTTAGCATATAATATACATACGGGTCTGGACAGACGGACTCATTGCAACTTTCCAGCAAATGAACATCAACGGGCCATTCATTCTATCAGCAACACGCATTTAAAAAAACCGGGAGGATATTATAGAAAGGAATATCAATTATCAAGCTACTTAGTTGCCTATATTTAATAAAAAAAGATAAACAAAAAATTGCAGAGTATACTTCATGCTTAATGCATTTCAGGCATTAAAATTCTGTAAAGGAGAAATGAACTGAAACAAACCGTGATATTGTTTTGAAGAGCTAGAATCATCAGTGTAAGATTAGAGTCATAGATGTTCTTTACCGCAGTTTCGATGATATTAGTATCCCATACCTGGATCGAAAAGCATATCAAGATATTATTATTAAAGTAAAATAAATAATTTTATGTAGACTCTAAGGACATAGAAGATTGATGCTAGACACTTGTAACTACTCACATGGTGCAAATTAGTCTTCCTCCGGTACCACCGGACAATTATTGAGTTTCCCCCTTCATCTCCAAGGAACCCTACGTGAAGAGGCTGCAAGAAAAAAAAGAATTTCATGTATAACTACTAGAGAAGAAAATAGGAAGGAAAATATGGGGGAAAACTGGAAACAAGGATAGAAAATGTGGGAGAAAACAAAAGATAGGCTACAACTCAACAAATTAGTTTTATATATATTCATTTTTATTTGTTTATGTCTATTATATGAAGACTAACAAATCTAAATATATGTAAACAATCTAGAAAAATTAATAGCATTTCATTTTCCTTCTCTATTGTAAAATCAAACATAAGAAATATCTTCCTTTACACTGGTTCCCTTTTCCCTAGAATTTCTGGGATCCAAGAATATCCTTAGTACCACATGGCTACAGCATTAGTCGACTAGATAACAATATCCCGAGTCTTTCTTGTTAAAAAGATTACAAACCTGATGGACATCACCAACAAAATGTGATAAGAACATGAGTGCTTCTGTCAAATTGTCTATAGCAAGAAAAATTAGTCTAAAGATGCAGTATTTAACTATGATACAATAGGAATTGATTCTTACAATTTGTTTTTGAGTTTGAATTATTGTAACCAAAAAGCTGCTCAGTGTAGTTGTGAATTGCTGCAGTAACACACCTCTCCTTATGCCTCTTAGTGTCATGGCAATCCCCTTTGAGAAAGATAAAGATAATAATCTATTAAAAATACTTTAATAAACAGTTTGTTTACCCCCAGTCCCACCCCACATCTTTCCCAAACTCCTAGTTTAGCCTTGATCTCAAAGCCGGCCTAAACTAGAAATCATTTCATTTTTCTTAACATTCTCCAAGGTAACACCAAACACAAGAAAACAACATTATTTACCATCCTTACATTCCCTAAGTATTTCTGTGATCCAAACATAGCATTTGGGTCTGCTTAGATCTCGGGAAATTATGGAAAGGAGACGGAGAGGAAACATAGAAAAATTAGAAGGAAACAATATGTGGGGAAAAAATAAAAGGTATGCTTAAACTCAATAAAGTTATTTTAGATATTTGTTGATACCCATATACCTTGTCAAAGTCTATTATAGAGTATGTCAAGACAAAATCTTAATATATGTAAGAAGAAAAAAAGAAATACGGAGTAATAATATTTCGTTTTCCTTTGCATTTCTGAGGGCTACCCAAACATACCCTATAAGTTCTGGGAAAAATGACTGATACAGCTTGTAGTCTATCAATAGAGAAGGAAACCTTACTGGAAAATTTGTAGTTGCATAAAAAATCAGGTGTGTCAACATAATGTAGACTCTTGCTCCAACCGTAGTGTGCATGATAACGAACTAGATCTGCCCAATCACAAACATTAGCAAGTTCTCCTTTAGCTTCATCAGGGAGCAAGTCTTTTACCACTTCGAGAGCCTCTTCAGTTAGATATTCCTAGAACAAACAAATAAATTTTAAAAAAAAAATTATTTCCGGTATTCCAGATGAATTGCTCTAAAATGATCTTTCATGATTACAACGAACAAAACATTTCCCCTTTTTACCTTAACCCCAATGATTTTAGGGTCGGTGAAAAGAAATTTATAATGTCAATTTATTGTGTAAATTAGTTAATATAATTAGCCGATCCCAAAATCTTTTGAGACCAAGACTTGGATGTTGTTGTTGTAGTTAATACAATAAATTCATGCACAAAGCATAGTAGCAAAGTTTTACACTGAAAATAAAGAGGTAAGAATAAAAAACTGTCATCAACATAGGTTTCTCCATTTGCGTGAAAAGTATCCGAACAAATCACCTTACTTCCCTTAAGAATTCATTTGGAACTCGAAAAGTGTAAGGGGAAAGATGTGGGGTGGGGGTAAACAATTGGTTCAAACTCAACATAAATATTTTTTATATTTGTTCAAACTCATTAATTATTGAATTCTGCTCTACAAATACTAGGAAGCATATATGTATGTTACATGTATACCTTTTTGAAATCATTAATCCTATTTCATTTTCCTTTTCATTTCCCATAAATAAACTAACACACAAGAGATTGATTTCCCTTGGGCCTTTTTTTGGCAATGATACGAGCAGGGAATGTTCAAAGAAGGGTTTTGAAAATGGTGTATTTATTTCAATCATACTCTTAATGAGCGGAAGTAATTCATTAAGGGCAGGACAGCAGGACTATAATTTCATACCCACCCCTTGATTCATTTTCCTTAGTTCATTTTATGCATGTATCATTACTTTTTTCCTTTGATTTCCCTGGCTGGGATACAATCATACACCATAATGGAAAAGAGGGGGGATGAAGAAATGATATAATGTAACTTTCCTTAGCCACCTCCCCACTTTCCTATCCCAACTTCCTTATTCAGGCCATCATAGAAACCCAGCAAGTTGAAAGTTTTCTGAAGACGCTTGAATTAGAAAATAAGCTAGCTTTTCCCCCTTTCTTCACGACCAATATCAAGATTATCTCAGTCTACGTTCTTTTATTCCTCCATCTCTAACTATCACCAAAATTGTTGGAGATAAAAAATAATGTGTTTTCTCCAAATAGTAGTATTATATATTTTCTTCTTTCCCTAAATAGAAGTACCACATTGGTCATCTTAAAATCATAGTCACATCTTATAGCATTACCAGGTAGTATGACACTATGGTTTCCGTATGACAGCAGTCACAGCACTTACCGTGATAGGCGCTATTTAAAGAAACATAGTACTCACTACTCATATTTAGGGAAAACGCTTTGTGTTTACTTTATTTAGGACAATTTTTTACATTCTCAAATATATTATATTCTTACCCCTTTATAAAAAAAGACTCAAATTCATCTGTTTGACAATTATACTTTTAGTCATGGTTTCTCCACCTAAAAAATGTACATACAAAAATAATGGATTTAGATAGAGGCAGGAATTGATAGGTAATTGCATAGTTTATTGATGCACGGATTACACAATTTATACAGGGAATTTCTAAGCTATTCAAGGTAAGATTATATATGAAATATATTACAATAAATGCTGAAGATCAGATTTGGTTCTATATGAAATATATCATAATTAATGTTGTAGATCAATTTGATTTGCAGTTCCATCTAGAAAAAAATAGTTTTTATACTATAGTTGTTAATTAAATATGGAGTAATATTTATTAATTCTCTAATTTAATTTTGCTTCATAATTATCAATTGAGAGAAAATAACAATGCAAGCTAATTAATCTGTAACTGAAATATATTCTAACAAAAACTAGTCCTCCATTTCTTATGCTGAAATGCAATCGGGTGAACAGAAATGAAATTGGTACAAAAAGAACTGTAATTTTTTACAGCAATCCTCTATCCTCCTGAAAGTGAATTCACGAGCTAAAAACTAGAACAGAGAGAGAAATGATTGTGCGGAGACCTGGGCGATTTTGCAGATAGCAAAGTGTCCTTGTTTTCCCCAAGCGTTAGTGATTGGGGCCATCAGCAGAAGAACAGCAGCGCTCATTATCCACAACGCATCTGACGCCGCCATCTCTTCGACTTCAAACACCACCCACATGTGGCCAGTACTACTTCTTCATCTATCACATTTTCTTCTCAGTGACGTGGGACACTTATTTTTATTATTATATATTCCACCATTATTGATTTATTTAATTTGAAAAAGGAATATAAAATCCACATTTAATATTATTTTTGTGACAGAAATAAAAATAAGCATATTTAAAAAATTGTTAATGATAAAAAAAATTGTTACACCCTTAATTCATATGTGACCCGCATTATTAAAGACAATAAGTTGATAAAGTACTCAATAAGTGGTCAAGTAGGCTTTTTTTGTTTTGTAAAATGTGTAAAAGTAAGGATTATTAGTATCGATTTCGCTTATTATTAATGTAAACAAATATTACGATATAACTTTATTAAATTTTGTTCGTGCCTATCTAACATGGATACTTCACTAGGGTATCGCATAAACGTATAAGAAACGTTCCTGTATAAGACACTTTATGATACTCGTACCGTGCGTTCTCGGGGTCGTATTTGTAATTTATTAAAAGTTTCCAACTTTTTGGGTAATTATTTTAAAATTTTGGATACACATATCAACTTTATTTTTACATATATAAAAAACCCTAAAGTTTAATTCGCACACAACTAACTAAGTACATGGACTATAAGTAAAATGTGGGATGTTAGTGAAGATGACTTTGGAGCATGGATGATATAAGAGTACTAGTTCAACAACCTCTCAATAGATGAATCGGAATTGGAGGCTGTCTTTTTGTTGAAAACGATGTTATCCCTAAAAATTAGTAGCTCTAGTGAAAATACGTATTAGAACGTTTTGTTTTTTAATAGAGTATTGTTTTCTATTTTCATTATATAAGAATCATGAGTACTTGCACCTACATTTAATTTCAGAATTGTGCGTTTTTAACTCGTTGCTCATTTTAAATTAATGACTATATTTATAATGATCGACTCAATCAGCTTCCGATCCATGCTAAACGGGCCTATTGGATGTTTTTTAGTATTCCTTCATTTAGACAAATTGTACTATTGTAGGAAGGTTTTGGTTCGGTCCCCTTTCTTTTGTATTATTTCATTTATTAATAAGATATGGTAAAGAGTGATTTACCTAAATAGGACTAAAACAAGGTAGAATAGTAAAAATAAGATTGTTATGTTTTATTTTGCAAAAATAGGACTAAAAAGAGATAATCTGACAAAATTTCCCTTAATTAAAAAAGCCCTTGCACCCAACGACTCTGGAATCCATCACAATACATATCTTCCTCCCTGGATTATTGCTTGTGGCCTCGCATCGCAGTTTCGCCGTTGACAGTAGCCATGCACTCATCGGCAACGAGGTAGGTCTTCTCCTTTCTCTTTCTGCTTCTTCCTCTTTTGCTTCTTCCTCTTCTGCTTCTTCTGCTAACCCTCTTCAAATTTCTGGCCCTCTATTCTCTTTTCCTTTAGATACGATTTTTTGGATTTGAATTTTATTTTGGTCCCCTGTTTTCTTCTTCTTTAGATTTTAATTTTTCATTTATTTATTAATTTTGATTAATTTGGAACCTCAAAATGTCATTGCATTTATCAAGATGGCAGTATGTCATGAAAATGGCATTGTTACTCAAAAAGATGACATTTTAAATATGCCACTTTTATGACCTTACATTTATCAAGATGATAGTATGTCATCAAACTGACATTGTTACTAAAACTGACATTTTAAATATGTCATTTTTGTTTCAAAAATGTCACGCGGATGACATTATTACGCTTTGGAGATGTCATTTTCTTCTTGGAACTGTTATCTTGGCAAATGTAATGTCATAAACTTGACATTGTTACAAATCAGTGTTGGATTAAACATCAATTATGACATTTTTCTAAAATTTTAAATATCAAAGCAAAACTGGCATTTTCTCATAGATGTAATGCCATAAAATTGACAGTCATCGAATTACTGATAATTTTATGACATTCTCATATCCCTGCTTTATAAGTATATCTGAAATCCAAAGAACAAGATAAACATAGTACCAGAGAATTGAGGCCGAGAAGAAGGAGGAGGAGGAGGAGGAGGAGGAGGGGGAGGGGGAGGGGGGGAGGGGAGAAGGAGAAGGAGAAGAAGAAGATTACATACCTGACTTGACTGGAAAATCGTAGCAGAGGTCGTTGATGGCGGATCGGAGTAGCGGCACTGCAAGAATCGTCGAAGAGGTGGCGGCCGGCGTCGAGCAAGCAACTGCGATGATAGCAGGTCGAGTTGCGATCGAGCAGAGTCATAGGGGGAAGTCCTTGCAGGTCTGGCGATCGATGCAGAGGGATTGGGGAAAAGGTGATTTAGGGATTGAGGATAAAAATGTAATCTGGAGTCCCATTTAAGCAATTTAAAACTTCAAGTCCTATTTTGGAGTCCCATTTAATCATGTTTTAGTCCCATTTAGTTAATTTCTTAATGGTAAATGCTTCACAGGATTTACCCCATTGATTTTGGTGGTTTGCCTTCCGGATTTAAAAAATGAACTATTTATATTTCGAGATGCACTATAGGAGATAAATTATGAATTCATTTCTGACTATCTTGATGATAAAATGTAATATAAGTATTATATTTAAAAAAAATCTTGTACTTTTAACCCTTATAAATACACCCCATAATTTTTAATATTGACAAATACACCCCATAACTTTTACTACCTCCATCTCACTAAGATTGAGACAAGAGAAAGTAACACGATTATTTAGAAAAGTGAGTTTGTGTGGTTGATATTAAATATTGAAAATAAAATAAGAATGATTTAGAGCCACATAAAATTTACCAAATTTGGCGTGACACAATCTATTTTCCGAAAATGTAAAATTAGAGTGGTAAAAATTAAAAACCTCATTCGCAAGTTCTTGACAGACAATTAGAAGTCCGGCTAAACCAATGAAGGCAGTGGTGATCACGACCCCCGGCGGGCCGGAAGTTCTTAAAATCCAACACGTGGAAGACCCAGAGATCAAAGACGATGAGGTGCTGATCAAAGTGGCAGCCACCGCGCTCAACCGAGCGGACACCCTTCAGCGTCAAGGAAAATACCCACCTCCCAAAGGCGAGTCTCATTACCCTGGTCTCGAGTGTTCCGGCACCATCGAAGCTATCGGCAAAAATGTCAACCAGTGGAAAGTCGGTGACAGGGTGAGTGTATATCCAGACCCCATTACTCACCCCCAATCTTCTAATTTATTACGGCTTCAATTCATGAACTAGCTTAGTTTGAGGATTTTATATTACTCTTTCAGTAATAATCCCTATAAATCATTGGTTTGGTTGGCTTTCCATTCTCCAAGAACTACAACTGGTACTTACTTCTCATTAAAGTCCACCACCAAATAGCCTTACTCTTTATTTCCTAAATAGGTCTGCTTATTCCATTTCTAACATTCCATAGTTAACATTAAATGGCATTCTTTGGCCGCAGTCATCAAGATGTGACAACATTAGGCTGGACTCTGGCTATGGTTGATATTATTTTAAAATTGTATTGTAAAAAACTAAAAACTAAATCAAATACCTAGGAGTATTTTTGTTTATACAGTCAACCTTACTTGTATAGAACAGTCACCCCAATTTAGGGCAAACATATACAGAGTATGTTTTATTAAACTTGGAGATTTGCTGATAACTTTTCACTGTCCCATAAATTTAGTTGTATAACTAATAACTTTGTCTATTTTAAGACTTTTCCCAGCCGCTGACGGTGTGCAAATTTCCACTGTAATATTTACAATATGATGGAAAAGTTCTTAATGTGGATAAATGTATTATTTACAGGGTCTAGTCTACAAATTTTTCTATTCTGTTTTAAGGAATTAAGGAAAGTCTCTCTTTCAGTCTTTTAGGTATTCTGGTGTGTTGCTTATGGTGTGTGAAACCCCCTATGACAGACACTTTATTGGGTCGGGAGTATATTTTTCTGTGTAAATAAATTACTCCGTACATTGTAATATAATGATTACAACATAGAACAATGTTGATTTTTTTTATCAGCCAACCATAAAAAAATCAACCCAAGGGTTCATGGAAATATTAGCAGTTTGAAGGTCTTTACGCCCTCCGCTTTCATCCCAATTCCTTCCCAAGTCCTAAATCATCCAACCAAACCAGGGTTCATGGGAATATTAGGAAGTATCACTGTTGGCTTGTTTTTTTGGCCACTGGTTATGTTATTTGTGACATTTCATTTAAAGCTGATTGGTATTTATTTATCTAGTTATTTTTTACCTCCAAAAACTATGGGATAAGACAACTATCTGATGAAGTATATTTCACAGGTATGTGCTCTTCTTGGTGGTGGAGGCTATGCAGAGAAAGTTGCAGTGCCAGCTAGGCAGGTTTTTCCTGTTCCACCTGGCATTTCTTTGCACGATGCAGCCAGTTTCCCTGAAGTGGCTTGTACGGTTTGGTCAACTGTATTTATGACTAGCCATCTATGCTCCGGGGAAACTTTCTTGGTAACCTAGTCTTATTCTCTCAAAAAGTTCTTTAGGTTTTACTCTTCAACCATCAGTGTTGTTATGCGGCAATCAAAAATTAAATGGAATTTTTGCAGTAAGAACCATTATCTATCATGATATGTAGTATGTAGTACTTCGAAGTTACCATTTACAATTTTAAGATTTCAATAGTTAACTTTAAAAACTAGGATCTTTGTTCACCTTTGGCTTATACTACGTATATGTTTTTTTATTCCTGCAGATCAGCAGATGTAGCGTTTTTTATTTATTTTGTTTTTAGGCTTATGTGTTTCTTATTTTTTTTTATTTATGCAATCTTCTTTATAGTTATTCCTTGCTAATATTCTTTAAAACAATTGACGTGGCCACATAACTCTAGTCTTCCTTCTTTAACTAAATGCATTGATTGAAAGTGAGAATGATGAACTTCGCTTAGCGCTAACTCTCCTATCAGTAGTGCATTGGCCAGAGAAAGTTGATATGGAAAAGCCAGACTAAAGTCTACCAGCCTGGAGTTCTTGTGAGCCACTTTAGTTTTTTCAAAAGCAGGTTGGCGGAGAGGGAGTACAAAAAGATGACGTAAATCGTAGAGATGAATAAACAAAACAAACTTGTACAGAAATTTCAAACAAAAAATGTGATAATTAAGGCAGGAAACACACAATAAGTTTTTCAGTTCAAGACTAGAAAGACAGGTTAATTATCAAATATCAATCAAAGACTTTGAAGATGAATGTTAATAATATAGGACTTGAATGATTGAAAACCATTCATTGAATGCTTAGAATGTCGTGAACTTTGATTTCTTTAAAAAGCCTCGATATTTTATTGTTTTTGTTTGGTATTACCTTTTTGTATTATTTAACATGACAATGTGCAAACGATAAAAAAACATGACAATGTGCAATGGAATTTCAGATACATGGGGGCTCTAGTGGAATTGGTACATTTGCCATTCAAATGGCCAAGTACGTTGGAGTGAAAGTATTTGTCACAGCAGGTCAATTTGTAGAACTGTATTGTTTTTTTTATTAAGTTATAAGTACCCATTAAGGAAACATCTACATAATATATAGGAAGCGAGGAAAAGCTTGCTGCTTGCAAGGATCTTGGAGCAGACGTTTGCATAAATTACAAAACTGAGGACTTTGTCACCCGTGTGAATACAGAAACAGGCGGAAAAGGTAAACAGTAATGCCATAAATATAATAAATTAGCAGTATGAAAAAATATGATATGAGGCTGTAAGGGTAAACATGTACTGTAACTATATTTGTTGTTCGACACAGTTTTCGTAATTGGGTTGGCACACAGCACACTCACTCAGTTGGACCTAATGCACACTGTCTACCAAAAGATTGAATCTAATGAATCTAATGAATCAGCTACTCTAGCTCTCAACCTTATAAACTCATGTCTTTATTTAATATTTCAATGCGTAACCCCTAACAAGCCCTTTGCATTAATCCCGGATTTTGAGTTGCATGTTATGTTGAGTTTGTGGTGAGAATGATATAATTGTGCGGTTTGCAAGGTGTTGATGTTATATTGGATAACATTGGAGGGCCATACTTTCAGAGAAACATTGACAGCCTTAATGTTGATGGGAGGTTATTCATCATTGGCTTCATGGGAGGCACTATTACAGAGGTGAATCTTGCAGGTTTGCTTGCAAGACGCCTCACGGTTCAAGGTACTATCATAAATCCCTACATCTCTTTGTACCTACATGTTCACTGCAGATATTGCACATCCAAACCAAGTTTTTAAACGAAAGTAACTATTTCATCAAGGCCCATGCATTCTTGTTTCAAGGCGGGTTTTATAAATGTCTATTACCTCCATTCGCATGAGGTGGTACAGTTATCAAGAAAAATAGAGTCATGTGATTGATACTATTCTGAATTGGTTGAATTTGCCAAATAGGATAATTTTTTGTTTTATCATACAATTTTCTTTATTTTATTAATAAAACATGTTTTTTCATAACTTAGCAGATTCAATCGTTTCAGGCAGAATGTAAACACTTCCAGTATATTAAGTCAATTTCAGTGTTATCTAACGAGTTTTAAGAATGAAGTAGAACCAACATAAATTAGTGGGACAACCAAAAAGGAAAATTGCCAACATTATAATTTAGAATAGTGGTAGTAATTTACTAAATAAATACTCTGTACATTCTTATCATGAAACACTGTTATTAATCTGGCCCCGATTAAATGCTGACGTCGTACTTCCTCCATTCTTATATAATTGCAACACTTTCCTCTTTTGGCAATTTTAAAATAATTGCAATACTTCCCCTTTTAGTAATAACAAATAACCAAAATGACAATGATACGCTTAAACTCATTTAATTTAATTATGCAACATCATTTCTTCCCTTTCCCAATCCCCAAGCCCTTCTCATCAAGCTTTTTCCTTTCGTCACCTTTTTTTTCTCTTATGTTTAATTTAATTTAATTTGGAGTTCCAGCTAGAAATCCTAAACTGCGACAATGCAAATCTTTTGCTCTGTACTTCCGTCAATCCGATAGGACGATAGAAAATCAGTAATAAGAGCAAGTGTTGGGGGGAGGCTCCAATTACGGATTTAAAGAAATCTAAGAGAGAGGAAAACCAGTTAGATAAGCAATACTATACATAGATGTTTGTAGAAAGAAGTGGCATGAGAGAGAAGTTGTCGGCAGCGAAGAGCAAAAACAGGAACAAGAAAGCTTTATAGAAATTTCTTAAACTTTGTGCCAATTTCGAAGGTCGCTAAGAGTTGTGGTTGGTAAGACTGTTCTAAGCCATAATAGGCATCTCCTGCTTTGACTTATCAGATATAGTATCCTCCATTCAAGTACACATTCCCACATGTTACTATCCTACTTGGTGCTGTTCTCACGTTTAATTCTAACTATTGGCAGGCTCTAATTAAATCTTCCCCACAATCATGAGCAGACATAGAATTTACAGTACACAATATTCTGAGTGTTCGCCTGGGCTTGATTCATCACAAAGATTCGGGGTCTTGGTTGGGTTTGCTGCCGTTGTTTCCGCGATTACCCTGGTTCCTGTTGTTGTCTGTTCCCCCCGAGTTGCAGTTGTTATTGTTGTTGTGGTTGTCACGGCCACCATTGGGTCCTGTTTGGGCCCCCTCCGGCCTTGCTCCTTCTTGGTTTTGCCCTTGATTGGGTCATGTCTGCCTTCTTCGAGATGCACTCACACGATCTGTGTCCCAACCCGTTGCAGTTAAAACACTTTGATAACTTCCTGTCGGAGTTCACTCCTGGGTGGTCCTTGCCACATCTCTTATACTAATAGTGCCCCTCGGCATTCCTCCTCTGGTTTTGACCTTAAACGGTCTTCCTTCATTAGTCATTCCCTTACTTTATAATAAAACATATTTAAAATATTTTTTTTCGTAATTTAGTTGTTTCTTAGATTTTCAGAAATTTCAATAGATTGAGCTGATCAAACCATTTATAGTGTTATCAAATGAGCTTTTAGTTCGACTATAAATTAGTTTTAGGAAAATGACCAAAAAGTCCAATTTTGGTATGACATAAAAGAATTGTCAATGACACAATAAACTGATTTGGCATGTGCTATATTCCAATTTTATTACATTATTCGTCAAATTTAAAGTGTTTAAACAAAGGTTAGTCGAGTTTTAAAAAAATATTAGTCATATTTTTATCTTTTGAAAATAATCATTCATCATCATTATCCCAGTGCCGCAAAGGTTCCCACCTATGGTGGGGTAAGGGGGGGTCAGATGTACGCAGCCTTACCCCTGTACTAACAAGCATAGGGAGACTGTTTTCGGATGACACATGGTGTCGAAAATTGCATGGACTGACTGCTGCTTCATAACAAAGAAGCGCAGACAGTTTAGAGAGCCATTTTGCTTAACAAAGAAGCGCAGACAATTTAGAGAGCAATTTTGCTTTATTCCATCATATTCCCAAGCCAAAAATAGGTAAATTTTGGCTCCATTGCAAATGATGGAAATAGCTTCTGAAAATAATAAATAGTACTAGTAATATTTTTATCATTATTTTCTAAAATTAATTTATCATCAAATTAAAATGTGCTTTCAAAACTACTCCGTATTTATTATAACCTCATAAAGTCATATGTATCAATTCATTCTTTTTTGGCGTATACACATATAATGCATAACTTACCTTTTGTAATTGTTTACTTGTACATTTGTACATAATTGCTTTTGTATGTAAAACTTTTTAAAGGAGATTTGATAGAAAAATGCTCTGAGTCCCTAAAACCAAAATAAAATCACTTCAGTACTCAGAACCAAACATTAAACAAAGTTTAGTCCCTACATTTATGCTTAACTTTCTTTTGTAATGTAGTTTTTAATGTTTGTATGGTGCTTGACACTCTAAAAAGCTCTAAACGTGGCAAACACTGCCGAAGTAAATAAGGCCTTTTACAGGTGGTTTAATGAGAAATTGATGGTATGGCTTTTATTTTCTTTTGTAGCTGCTGGATTAAGGAACAGAAGTGGGGAGAACAAAGCATCAATAGTGAGCGAAGTGGTGAAGAATGTTTGGCCTGCAATCGGCGAAGGAAAGGTCAAACCTGTGGTCTACCAGCATTTCCCCTTGGCCGAGGCAGCAGAGGCTCACCGGCTGATGGAGAGCAGCAATCACATTGGCAAAATTCTCCTCACTGTTTCTTGAACAGCTGCTATCATGTAATGCTACTCTCAAGTCTTAATGTGCGTTCAGTTCTTCATCTTAATAAATAAAAGAGAATCTCTTCTTTCTTTGGACTATTTTCTCACTGTACAAAATGCAATCTGCACTTGTGACAATGTGAACCCAGTCTAGGTCCCACCTAGGGTGTTAATCAATGTTAAGTCACAGAGATTTGGTGTAGAAAATATTATTGATATATTAGAAAATAAGAAGAATACAAGCCGAGACCAATTTTCCCAAATCCCAGCCTCCTTTTCCTGACTCATCTGTTTGCCTTTTATTTCCTTTCTCCAGCCTGTCCAGCTTCCACATTTATTTAGACCACCCTTTCATTTCCTTTCTCCAGCTCAACCTGTTTAGCTTCCACATTTATTTAGGCCATTCCCCCCAAGCTTGATTCCCCCTTTTATTAATAAACCCTCACTTAAATTGTTGGGCCTAGAACCCTATTATTGAACAACATTAAAATACCTAAAAAACTTAATAGACACCAATTATTGGTAGTGCCCAGGTCCTTAACAATCAACCAAGCTGAATTGGATTTCGTCTTGGATTGAGTAGTGCATGATAAAGAAAAAAGAATAGTCGAGTTGGAGTTGTAGTTTGAGTTTTATCTATTTTAAAATTGGTAGATTTTTATAAAAGTGATTTTATTTATTATCAGGTTTAAACACACATGTGCAATCATTAATACTTTATTATACATAAAATCAATATTTTAAAATTCCCGATCTAGTTGTTGCTTTGTAGCCAAGGACATTGGCTGACTCCAGTCCTAACAAATTTTAGTCGGGCCTGAGCCTATTTAGTATTTATGGTTTCGGGTCGGTCTTGTTCTGAAAATATTGTTTTGGACTATTTAGTTCATTGTTGTTTTTTCAAAAGAACATCAATAATGTTCCAAGCGAGTTCAAAAACAAAAAGAACAACAGCAATGCGAAAAAACAACAAAAACATAAAGGCTAAAGGGTCAAATAGGTACATGAACTAACTTAAAGTGTTCAATTAGCCCCTTATATAGGAGATTCTGCCCGGCCGTCGCCAATTGGGGCGGTTCCTGGTGGAATTTTTTGATGAATTTTTTTGAGCATCTTCTTCATTAAGTCTAGTTCACCCATACCAAATTTCAACTAAAAATTCAACCGGGAAAGCAGTCAAATGATTTTTTGAAGATAACTCCTCAGTTAAACAATGCAGTACATTTCGGAAAATCATTTGAGTGCCTTCCCAATTTAATTTTTAGCTGAAATTTGATATGGGTAAACTAGACTTAATGAAGAAGATGCTCAAAAATTTTCATCAAAAAATTCAACCGGGAACCGCCCCAATTGACGACAGCCGCATAACCTCCTATATATGGGTCTAATTGAACACTTTAAGTTAGTTAATGTACCCATTTAACCCTTTAGCCAAACATAAATGAAGCATAAGAGATATTACGTGAAATGTAACATGATAGTGCCATTTTGGTTCAACAACAAATACAAATGAAGATGTTCAAAAGATAACTGACTTACAAAATGTTGCAAAAAGAAGTGATAATGTCAAAAAAATCTGTTATGAGCGTTCATGCCAGAAGCAAAATCCCGTGAGAGAGTTCCGAAAAACCACTCATAATACGCAAAAAAAGCGTGGGAGACCGCTGGGTTCAAAATACGTAAAAGTGTAAAACCAAGAAAGACAAAAAAACATGAAGTGCTGTGATGTCAAAGATTTTTATCCTTCTGACCAATAAAATGAAACATCTTGAACATAAAAATAGAAATCAACAAATCAAAATCTCTATTGAAGATTCAACTTTCTTATATGAGGAAGATATCCAAATAATGATAGAAACATTAATAATTATGAGATATTAATAAATTACATTACTACTGGTATGCTATGAAATTTAAAAGATATTGATATTAATGAGATATATGTTTATGTCATTGTTATGAATGTCATGAATGAAAACAATGGCAATGAGTCAACACCGAGTGATGGGTGTCGACAAAGACATGATTTGCTAAAATCAAACGAAACAATTCAGACAAAATTAAAAAGCGTGAAGTTTTTGGGCCAATTATCCTACGTCAAAAGTGGTAAAATCGGTGGGTTTTAAATTGGTTTTTGTGTGCAAGCGTAATGAGAAAAATGAAATTATAAGATATAAAGCACGGTTTGTTGTCCAATACTTTTCTCAGATGTTGGAAATTGATTATGAGGAAACTTGTTCCCTCGCATGTAGTTGATGCAACTACGTGAAGATTTCATATTGGCATGTTTGTTTTGAAAGATCATAAATGCACCTAATGGATGTATTGACCATATTTTTATGCGGATCACTCGATACAAATATTTATATGAAAATTCCCAAAGAACGTAAAGTGTCTGGATCGAAATGATAATAATATGAAGTAGTGACCTCATTTCAGAGAGCATATTATTTTTTGAGATTTTTTCTTCAAAAATAAAATTTATTTACAAAAATAGAACTATAGTTTTTATGAGTATAGTGTTATGGTCATTAAGTGTATAAAGTGACCACAAATTATTACGGAGTATGACTAAAATCATTGTTATATTCGTTACACTTAAAATTTCACATTTTTATAGACTTCCTTTATTTTAATTATAATTTTGTAGTTATTTTTTTTATCAATTTTAAACTATAGGTTTAATCCCATTCAAAAAAACTTTAGGTTGAATCGTGACAGCTGTACCACAGCTCGTATGTGGTTAAACAAAAATGCACATGTTGAAAAAACTAATTAGCTTATAAAGTTTTTATCCTTTTTTCAATGAAAGCAAAGATATCAACATTCCTGGTACATTTTCTCCGGAACATAAGAGCCTGTTTATTAACAGAGATATTTTCCAGTTTTCAGAAAACTGGAAAACTGGAAAACAGAAAACAGGAAACATGTTTACCAAAGAAAATTGCTGGAAAACTGGAGAAAGGAAAACAGAAAAATGCATTTACCAAATCGTTTTTCAAAACGAAAAAAATGAGACATGTCTCGCTTTTCTTTAATGATTTGGAGAAGTGACTTTTACTAGTTTTCCAAATTCATTACAGTGCCGCTGCAATGAATTTGCATACTTACCCCTGGTGGTGGGTGCGGTCCCGCCCCGATGTTGATTCCATTCTGGTACCTCCATTCTCGTACTTTACCCCTTACCCCTACCCTACCCACCCTACCCCCCGCGTACCCCTTTTCCCTACAATAACCCTACCCCAGCCCCTATCACATGCCCCTACCTTGGCCCCACCCCGATCCAACCTACCCTACCGCCACCCCCCTACCACCTCGACCCCACCCCGACCCACCTTACCCTACCCCACCCCTCGTATATTACCCCTTACCCTTACCTTACCCCTTACCACATGCCCCCACCTTACCGCCATCCTACCCCCACCCTACCCTTCCCTTACCTCGGCACCACCCTGATCCCGGCCCCACCGTATTGCCATCTTACCCCAACTCCCTACCTTACCCCAACGCCCACTACCCCCACCCTTACCCCTAACCCACCCACTACCCCCACCCAACCCCTTACCCCTAGACCTTACCACCCCACCCCGACCATACCCCTTACCCCACCCCACCCCACCACTACAAGTAGGCATTGGGTATGAAGGGTTGTGGGGGAGTATGGGTAGAGCGTAAGATCATGGTAAGGGTAGGGGTAGGGGTCAATGGTGTGGAATTGGGTATAGGGTGTAGGGTGGGGGTACGAGGTATAGGTTTGGGGTATGGATTAGGGGTATGGGTACACATACGAGGTGATCGACCCCACATATTATATTACGGAGTATATATTTGTGTTTATGAGTTGCAAACCAGAGTTGCTGCAGTGGCTCTACAACGAAGGGACGGCACCAGCAACCGATGGACAAGGGGAACAGTTGATCGAGAAACACGTCAGGAAGGCTTGTCGATGATCGGTTCGACTCGTCAGGAAACCAAACGCGGGAGGACTGGTGCGACGGACTGGAGGAGAGGCGCGAGGGTTTGGAGCCATGGCTTGCCCACGTAAAAAATCATACCGATGGTCCGGCCTCATCCTGAACCACCACCAGGGAGCGAACGAGGTGCTAGGGGTCCAGAAATTTATTTTACTTATCTAGTTTTCTCCATGCATGTTTCTTTTTTATTTGGATCTTTTCTCTGTTTTGGTTGTGCTGTGTTATTCTAGCAATAAAACTGTTTTCTCCATGTTTCGTTTTTATTTGGATCTATTGTCCGTTTTGGTTGTGCTGTGTTATTCCAGCAATAAAACTGTAGATCTTAGAATTGGTGACGAGGAGTCTGGTTTGCAAGTCATTGGCTAAGTTAAGCACATAGCAGGATCAACGAATTATATTCCTTCTACGGAGGTGATTAATTTTAAGTCTGGTTCTAGGGTGGACGACAGACAGAAGACTTTTTGTCATTTTGTAACCCACTTACGTTCTGTTATATTAATTTAAGCCAGTTTCGTTCAAAAAAATCCACTTAAATTTGATATGTAACATTTACTATAAAAATATATAGTAGCCTATTTATAAAACAATTTACTCCGTATGTAAAATTTTATCATTTTTAAACTTTTAGAAATTCGAGCAATTATAAATTAATTTTGAACAAACACATGATTGTAAACATTATATAAAACATTATCCTTCATAACGTATAGTTCAAGACTTTAGAGACCCTCCCTAGTTTTGATCCCACATCTCCAACAAAATATATTGGATTAATGGATTATCTTCATCTTCGATATATTTAATAATCCTATACTCCTATAAGGATGCCATATTTTTTCCACAAAACACAAAATATACTGTAGCATTCTCATAATAATTGAGGCAATTATGATATTGCTTATGTGTCCTCTAGGTTTGACTCACCCAGCTATGACTTTAGATAACCTACTATCTAGATTAATTTAATTTACCTTATCTTTAATTAGTCGTTTTACCCGTTATCAGAAGTTAAAATTTGATTTAGTGCTCATTTTCGGCGCGGGTCACGGTTTCTGATTCGGGCATATACTTTTTGTAACTTTTCATGTTTCCAAATTATCCACATGTGTAACTAGTGCCCGACTCTACCCCTGTCATCCTATGTGGGCCTCAATTTTGCCTTTGGAATCAGGCCTTCAAAAACTCGCATCGCATGGATAACTTAATTGATCCAATGATGAGAAATTTGGAACAACGATTAAGGATTGAAATTCACAACGTCATGTGGAGGTTATAGCCCCTGCCT